TTTTTATTTACACCTATTTAATTATAAAAACCTCATATTCTGAAGCAAATTAAAAATAAATGAAATGGCATTTTCAAATTTCCGGACCTCGGTTTTTTGAATAACTTACTTTTTTCTAAAAAAATAAGTATTATTATAAGTGAAGTATTTCTTCAAAAGGATACAGTGATAATTTCACAAAAATGAACTTTTTAGTTTGCTTTCCAATCTCAAATCTTTGTTAGATAATAAAGTCATACAAGTAATAATAGTAAAGTTAATTGGCGGTGAGTCAAAATGACGAAAATAATTCAAATATGATTTTACTTATTTGATCCATAAACATTCATAATTTGCCTTTATTCTTTATTCGTACTACTTATTTTTCCAAATATTACTTCCTCATTCATTATTACTCATATTTACAAATTTTTAAGTATAATTTTTTCCTAGATCGAATGGTACATCATTATCAGATTGAACATTTTTTCTAGAGTTACTATGATTAGTACAATAAATGAAATTTGGAAGGATGTATTAAATTTCAATTGAAGGAAAAGCATTCAAGTATGTAGAAAGCTTAAATTACTCTTAATTACTTCAATTATCAAATTGATTGCGTATAAAATGCAATTGCATACTTATCCATACGAGTTTTTATGGAATAAAATTAATGCTAACAATTTTATTTTACTAATTTTCAGCAGAGATATGAGTTAGAAGTTTTACATTACATGGTGAAAAATGTAGGGTTGTTGTGCAAGCTTTTTTTCTCGGGTCAGTAACTGTAGAAATGAAAATATATGATCACATAGAAAGTTTTGAAATCTTCTAGTGTTTATAGACTAAGTAAAATTTTTAAATGACTGCAAATTCTTTTTTTCTCTCGACTAAAGAAGTTTCTTGTCACTTGTGCACTTATCTTAAATAAAATTAAAAGGTGTAGTAGAAAGCATCGAAAGTTATCTCAAGCACATATTTTCATATTATGCTGCAAACTCACCACAAAAAAATATCTTCAAAAGCAATTTAGTTCTGGCTAACACTTCAGCATCTGAAATGTTGTGCCAGAAAAAAAAAATCTTGCTGACACAAAACATTGAAATGGAACAAAGTTTGAGCAACAGTTTGACTAATTTATGCCCTATTTTTACTAAAAGTATCCAAATGCTCTTTATGCTACTTGCTAGCTTTCCAACTTCAGTCTTGATCACTTTTTAAATAGAAATCGTTTGGCCATGATATTATTTACAGTGTAACTGTTCAGTCCTTATTCAGCTAAAAGCAAGTCCTATCATAATTTCATAAAATGATCACTGCGAAGTACCTTTATGTTATACTGCAAACAATCTTGCACGCTATTTTCAAATGAGACCATCTAGGTTGTTTGGAAATACATCAAAACAACCTGGATAGTCTCGTTTGAAAATAAGGATAGCATGCTGTCAAAGGACGCTTTTCTTTTTTATTCTCAATAATTTTTAGTAGAACTGATTTAATTTTTAATGTTACGCTTAAGACGAATGTAAAATGAGCAGTTATTAGTAAATGCAATCTACCTAAGTCAATCTTTATTTTCAAACTTTCATATTATTGACTTCAACAAAATGTAATCAAACTTAAATTAGTTCTAAGACTCGAATTAGTGCATTAACAAAAATTATGTAGCATTGCTAGCATAATCCATAAAAATGTCAACATGGGTTATACACCACCTTTCAAAATTATGCAGCCAAAATGATGAAAATGAAATGATAATAAAGCAAATATTTGATTTTATATAAAAATAAATTAAGTGTCACATCAAGTGATCATTTTATGAGGGGTTCTCGATAATATTATGCTAGTGATGTAACAAATTTTCATCCTTCCAGATGCGTATATTTAGTGCTGTTTTGAAAGCTTTTACTAGCTTAAATGTAGTTTCAGTTCATTATCTCACAGGTTTAAATGAAGATCAAATCGACTTTTACTTTAATCCAAGAATGTATACATTTAGCAATTATCTCCAATAATAGACAGTCACGTTTTCATCGTTGTTATACTGTATTATGAAAAATTTAATTTATGAAATTTCAATAGCTCGAGTGTTTAAAACTGCATAACTTGGTATGACCAACTCGTGTGAATTTAAATACTAATTAAGCAAGTTCGAATTTGCACTGTTACATTATTTTGAAGCTTTCACATCATGAAATACAGAAAAAATGAATTGCAAAACGCAACAAAAATGCAAATAAGAATTCGAAGTAATGAAGACAGTGATATTACATTTCATTTTTATTTATGGAAAGCTGGAAAAAATTTAACTGTGAAGTTCCTTGAAAGCAGTGATAATGGTGACTAACCATGTCCAATCTCCGTATTTACAACGTTTTGTTTTTTTCCACTTTTTGTGTCATTAAACCCACATTACTTTGTAACTTCTTTTTCAAAGCGCATGAATCTGATGATCTGGACTGCGAACGACGATAATGAAATTACCAACGCTATGCCTCTAAAATCTTTCTCACTGCCACATATGAATTTTGGGCAATAAATTTGAGCTATCAGCTACATGTATTAAGTCTGTGAACCAGAAAAATTAAATTACAGCAGAACACTGGAATAAAGTTTTGTTAATTTAGATTTACTGATGAAATATGCGTAACATATGTCATAACTTTAGTAGCCTCTTTTTCTCGCATGAATTCAGTAAATTGACGCTTAAGTTGAAAACACTCATGAAACTAGAGCAGGTTCAAAAAAAGTCGCAAGTGATCAATGCACAATAACTATGACAGCAACTTAACAAGTTAGGTCAGTAATCACCTTAATAATTCTTTTTACAGCTGATAGTCAATCAACTTCATTGTAACACTTGGCTATCATGGACAGCGTATCAACCATAGTGCCATAGCATCATCTTTAATCACTTCAAATCATGCCATGGTATTCAACCACATTACATAGTGCCCGTTGTACACCACTGATATTTATAATCGTAGATTTTAAGCTTTTTTCAATTTTTCAATTTACAAAAAAAACGCAGATCACTTAGTAAGAACTTTTGTCCTTCTCCAACCCACTCCTAACTATTCTCACTTCCAATATAAATACCACGACACAAGACTTACAAACTCAGAATCCATTTTAGTTACTCCTTCCTGATTTCCAGGCTCTTTATCAAACCTGTGTCCAAAGATATATAAAAAGCATAAGCAGCCACCCTCACTCAAAAAATTAATAATTCCTCATTTCAAATTTATCACTAAGTAATCCGAAAAACGATGATGGTTTAGTACTGATATTCTGATGGCAATAATTTAGAGCATGGAAAAAACAACGGTATTTTGAACAAATAGTTTATTTTCAACCTGTTAGCGACTACATTGTATATTAACCAGAAAAATTTCTCTTCAGCTGCAACAACTGCATATAGACTGCATGCAGCTTACAGTGTGAGGAATTATTAATGCACTCAACATACTAGCAAAAGATCATTATTACTATAGTAATACATTGCGCAACATAAAAAAATCAGCATGGATCTTGAGGATCTTAGCATAAGCACAACGAGAAGATAAATATTTATGAATTAAATTTGTACACAAAAGCTTACAGATGATTGTTAGCACAAAAGAAGCACAAATGACAAAAATGAATTTAAAGCAATACCTTTATTAATTTCCAATGAAATATTCCATCCTTCGCCCTTTTTTTTTGCTACATTTGTCTGCATTCTTTCTATGTTGAGCAAGGATCAACTCAACATTATTACCTCAACTAATACTTTGAAGTAAACCACAATTATTTTGAAATTTACATTGCTTTAGCTAAAGAAATGTAGATGGAAAATATTTGGGCGAGAAAAAATACAATCAGCGAGTAAAAATCAGATCAGAGGAATGCCTGTTTTTTTGATCAAATTATGTTAATATTTTCTAAGATGCTTTGCGTTCAAATTATGAAATAATTATCACATCCAAAGCTCAACATATCACATCTCCATTAATGAGTATTCAAAGCATAAAATTTATCACAGTATGACAATTAATTCATTGACCTAAAATCATACAATAAATCTAATTGTAATCGTGACACTTAAAACAGATATGTCAAAGATCACGTCTCCATTTTCATTTTATGTAACTGGTAATAAAAGGTTTTCGAATGTTTTCCAATCGTTTCAACGCTAAAAATATTTGCATAAGAGATTTTGCCCTCTTTTCATACTGATTTAATATTTATAGCGGAAAATGTTTTTGCAAACTTCTGATAATTTTACATCCTAAACTGAACTTCATTCATATTCTCGATAGCAACATCATTGTCAATATGGAAAAAACTAATGCAGATGCAATTCATGACGAGAAATGACTTTACATGCTCTTTAAGTTAAATAACATCGTCTCCATTAATCAGTGAAATAATATTATTGAAATCATTGCTGTGTCAGAGAAAATTAAACAAAAACTTACGGCATCTTTATAATCTTTGTAGTATTGTTCTTCTATATCACTTACTTTAGTAGTATTATCTGAAATCGAAACGGCGGCGCTAATACATATTTATAGCTTTTCAAGACGGTTAGGACTGCACAAAAATTTTACAATTTACTGCCATAAAATAAATTCAGGTTGTAATTCAACTCAGACTTATCTCTTAAAAAGACAACCGAAAATATTTTCTTCAGAAAAATGAAATAACAAACAAGATATGCCATATCTAGAATTTGATTAATGCATTACGATAACTTGGCAAATAATTCCTAAGACAAAATACTTGAAAGTAGTGCTGGGCTACGATTTCGGTGGAATTCAAGCTCCTCATTCAAGCGATTTAGCCGCTTAAACTGTACCTTACCATTCTGTATATAATTCGTCTTATATTTGTGATCACCTGTTGACGAAAGCTGAAGGAAAAAAATATAGAAGAATTTGACAAAAATTTTATGCACTTTCAACTGTGAAGAAGAATAGAGCGAAAATGAACCCAATAGTAGAGTAGGAACAGTAAATATTGATGGCTGATTCAATGGAAAGATAGTTAGCCAATCAAATGTGGAGCATAAAAAGTCAACTGAGATAAATGAGTATCAAAATGAATTAATTTAACTTTTCTTCACTAAAACATACAATATATATGTCTGCATTAAGCATTTAGAATATCTAAATCCTAGAAATAAGTTTATTATTCATGCTGCTCACTATCGCTGAGAACCTGAAAGAGCAAATAGTTCATACAAAGTTCACTCTGACCTCAACCATTTTCACTTTTTACCAATAAACAAACAATTGGTGTCTCTTAGAACTGAAAGTTCAAAGAGGTTGCATATATATATATAATGAAATGAAAAATCTGCGATAATTAAAAAGAGTAAATTAGTCCTTTAAATGAACAATCGATCAGACATATCTTTTTGAATTACTTTCAGTCATATAAAATTTTTTTATAGCTGTATATTACTAAACCTGCCATTAACAAATGAGAAAAACAGGATTCTCATATTGTATAACTAAAAACATCACCAAAATGGTAACTAGGAGGATGAACGAAAAATAATTTAAGGAAAGAAGGAGACGATAAGCCAAATTAAGTCAAGCTGTCATGTGAATCAAAGCTAACTAAAATAAAGGAAAGTTGAGATATACGAAGTTTCAAGAAAATCGATGTAAATCTCAAAAAAGTCAAATTAAGGTCATATAGGAAATAAGACTATGAAAAAGTTTCTGCTTGGGAGAAAATTGAGAGCAATGGTGAAAATGATGAACTAACTGCAGACGTGAATGCTTTTTTGCTTCCATAAAAATTGCAAAAGCCATCCACTACAGGTAAAATGAATAACTAAGCGTAAGTAGAGTGAATGAGCGCTACAATGTTGCTGATGAAAAGGTGAGCAATAACAAGCAACAGCAGCAACAGAAAGCATACAACCTGAGAAAGGGTTGCAATTTTGCTTGTTTATAAGCTATAACAATCACCACAAAAAACCATCATCATCATCATAATCGTCATCACCTATTTTCTTTCCTCTTCTTCCAGCTACAGTAGTTCACTGAAATATCATTTCTCAATCTCAACAATAGACCCATTTTCTCAAGTCATGTCAAACCGAACACCAATTGTGTAAGTTTCATTTTTAATCTTCCTTTTACAACATAATTCATATATTTGTTAGATATTTTAAGATTATTTTAATCGTAACCATAAGCTCCAATACAAAACACATATTATTTAAAGTTCTGATAAATGTCTCAATCTTCCTGTTTTATAACTGTACATTTACTTTTGTCCTCTTTTCATAGCAGTCACTTTTGTAGTTACAAAACTCCATTACCTATATCTATCTGTACACTATATCAGTTATCTCATGACATTACTTACATAACATTACTTATTACTGTCAAAGTCACTATCTGATATGCTTTTACCGTAGATATCACAAATGTCTTGGCAAATGATATCAATCAACATTATTTTGAGAAATGTTATCATTAACAGACTTTCGATTATATTATTAAAAACATTACAATTACAAAAACTCTTGTTCACCTATATGCTACAAAGAACAAAAAACAAGCAGTTACTTTCATTCATCTAATATATAGAAAATATTTTGGATACGACGAAAAAAAAAGAAGTACTACTGTTGAAGACAATCTCTTTTTTAGTCTACAAAAATATAATGAATAGACCGATGGCCTACAAGAAATGAAATCAAGCAAGTCTTCTTTACTACAGCTTTTTGTTTTCCATCCCATGATTCTCATAATAACTTCCACTGCTTTCATGCAGAAGGAAAATTGCAGAATCTTACATATGTACTGATACTGAACTACTTCTATAATCAATTCAATTTCAAACCACTCACTATATGAAAAAAGCAATTTCCCGACTATAAGAAAAATTTTGCAACATTCTGTACAAATTTTACATTTATAACCAGCCTTAAAATTTCTTCAGCATACTCGATCTAGGAAAGCACAAATTACTTTATCAAAAGAATTACTTACAGAATAATCTGGGTAATAACAGATAATTCCTTTTAAACATGATGTATCTTATAGGGAAGAAGGAACCGAAGATGAAAAGCCACCTTATTCATATGTAGCGCTGATTACAATGGCAATCAGCGCTTCACCCGAGCGCCGAATGACACTATCACAGATTTATCACGTATTTTCTTGCTTACTATTCCTTTGGCCATATAGCAATTAAATTAAATTACTCAAGTAGAGGCTCATAAAAAAGCCACATTACTACCATCCTACGCAACGTTAAAAAAAGAAGCAAGTAGCAACCAACCAATCATTTCTAATCCCATGCATCTCTAAATAACTCTCCAGAAAGTCATGTTCCAATATCCTTTAAATTCTTTGAAAGGGCAATTCTTCACAATAAAAAGCATCTTTCATAAAAATCCACGGTAAAGAACCACCCTAATTATGACAGTAAGTATACTTTAGTTTAATATCATGTGGATCTAATGACATGTTCAAAAACTCAAATATATCTCCAGCGGGAAAAAACCTCTCTCATATGTCATCTTATATTGTTTTTCCTTGCAGTATATTGATGCTCGTTTTCCATACTATCGCAATTGTGATTCAAAAAGACGCCAGGGATGGCAAAACAGTATACGCCACAATTTGTCTCTGAATGACTGTTTCATTAAAAAAGCTAGAGATGGTGTTGGACCAGCTAATGATCGCAAAGGAAACTTTTGGACACTATCGCCCGACAGCAGTAATATGTTTGATAATGGCAATTTCAAAAGAAGGTCTCATTATCGCTTAATGCAATTGGTCTTAATAGTGAATGCAATCTTGCCATATTTATTCAAAACCTTTGTGCAGCGAAGAATGAACAGACTTGAACCTTTCCTATCTATAATTATAATACACTCTGCATAAGAAAGAAAATCTTAAGGACTACTAAGTAAAAACTTTACTTGCTTTTTATTTAAAAGAGATCAATCTAATGAGCAACTTATGAAGATAACCCATTATTTCGAATATTGCCATCATTTGTTCTAGTTGCATCATCACTCTTATAAAAAATATTCATTGTTTGGAGCTGAATTTAAAAAAAAAATTGCTACGGCGCCAACCACGAGAACATCTAACTTTCGCTCAGACAACTGAATCATACAAACATATCATACTGAATAATCACTAAAAGCTATGCAAGCATTTTCCACATTTCTTAAAATTTTCTCCTTTGCATCGCATTTATTTCGGAAAGAATTAATACTTAAAATTTGAGCTGTACTTTATATTATGCAAAGCATTGATAGAATTAATGAAGAACGCGTACTACTTTAAAAAAGTTTTGTTAACTCTGATGCATATCTAAAATTATAGGAGACGAATGAGACGTATGACAAAATGCCCTAGTTCGGAAGAACGTGCTTTAAATTTACAACCTTGGTTCCTGCAGTACATGCAACGACAGGCCCAACAACAAGTAATATTATTTTTGTTCCAAAATAACCAAATAAGAATTATATATAGATTTATACATATTTTCTAAACTAGCACTCTATGACTAAACTTATTTCAGCTTTTAGTCCATCCTCCAGCAATGTTTCACCTGCCAGACAACTATGGAGCAACCAGTAATTTATGTTGGGCTAGCTCACCAACACAAATTATCGAGCCGAAGAGTACGCTTCATCACAGCCAATCCCTAACAGTTCAACCATCTGCCATAACAACAATTACTTATCGATGTCCGGATGAAATACCAGGAGCTTGGGCAAATACGATAATTCAACATCAACAGGAATTACTTCCAGCTATGCAAACCTTAGATCACCAACACAACATTAATTATGATAGAATGAATGAGTATCTGTAATAATCACTGACCAAAGAATACTCCTTCAATAGAAAATATTTGAATGAATGGAAATTAAGAACCAAAAAACTATAAAAATGTTCCTATGATCTTAATCTCATTCTTATTCTATTTATGCACAAAGTAGAGTTTGGTAAATATTTTCCGATTAAAAATATTGGTTGCAACATAGCAATTCAAGCACAAAAAACAAACTCAGTAAACAATTATCGATGAAAAATGATAAAAGAACAAAAGAAAATAGTGAAATTTTAAAATTCTCTTCAAAATCTTTTTTCTGAAATAAATAAAACCATTTATTTGAATAAGAATATCACAACATATGCATTTATCGAAGTCAAATTTTCCAAAATAAATCACAAAGACTTCAAATTTTTATTATATTTTTAGTTTTACATTAGAACCAAGCAACTGAATGCTATTTTTTCAAAAGAACATTATTTGGTGATAATAACGATGATGCAAGGTTAAGAACACAAGTTTGACTTTAAAATATTCGCTAGTCTTTTCAAGGAATCATAAAATATATCCTTTAGAACAATCAATTTAACTTCACTATCTACACGTTAATTCTAATTAGCTGCATTAAGCAGTAAATTCTCTGATGCCCAAACAAAACTGGAATGAAATTGCAAAAAAAAACTTACTTCAAGATTGAGATTTTCAAAACCAGTTCTTATGACCTGCAAGCGAAGAATATAAAATACAAGATTTTTTGATTAACCAAAAGAGATAAAATATAAATAAACTGAACGGAAAACGTTTGGATATTTCAGGTCTAGATTTAGAAGAATTAAAGCCATAATCTAAGCACCGAAGCATTCTGAATTGCAGTAGCGAGCCCATCGTTGCGGTTTTTATGTTTCTGTATTTGCATCTATAAAACGAAGTCCTATAAAACGGTTAGACAAATTGAATGCCAATAATTCAGTAACTAATTGCTTTTTGAAAATCTGAACGGTATTATTTGCTAGAAGATAAGGATACAAGAAGCCCCAATCTAATTTTCTTCCAAAACATAAATTTTCCTGAATCTTATAAGACAGAAGAAATATTCTTTGGTTAAAATATATAAACAGCAATTTTGCCAATGAGCAAATACATTTTAAAAGAATAAGACCTCCGTAATTAATGTACAAAAATATGAGGATTTGTTATTTCAGTAAATACTTGAATCAAATATAAGCGATATAAATAAAACAAAATAACAATATAAAAATACAAAATACCTGGCATTCAACAATACAGTTTCGATATTTCACATCTAAAAACTCAGAAAAGTTGAACAGAAAACAACATGCGGCGATGGAAATAAACTTTTTTTATAATATTTTTAGTGACTTTTCCTCATTCATCAAAACAAATTTAAAGTGCAATCACAACAAGTTAAAAAGCAGAATACTACAATTTAGAATGCATTTTAAGAGAAAAAATGGAATCAAACCTAATTCATATGAAGCATAAAAACTCACCTTTATAACTGATAAGTATTTTCTTACGCTTCTTTTGCTCACTTCCCTTTAATACTCCAATAAAACATTTGTATAACGCATTCTAAAATAACTCATTAAAAACACAAGTTTAAACATTTAAAACAAATTAAATGCAGAGAATCAGACAATTAGCAAGCGCTCCTTGTGTTAATAAATTTCCTATCAATAACTGAGATATGGACATCGTTAAGAAAAGAATACGTTCCCATCTAGAACAAATAAGATTCGTTAAAGAAATATTTTAGGTATGCTATAGAAAGTGGCAAGCCCAAATGAACAATTTAAAATTAATAATAAGACTCTTTTTGCTTCAAAAAACAATGTACCATGAAAATCAAAAAGATGGTAAATTCGATGCGCTTGGTTTTTCTTTGACAATGAAAAATCAAACTAGTATAAATTAGCTGGTTTTCATTATAAAACACGAACTCAAAGTCTGGATCTTGAGAGTGTTCTGACGTACTTTTTATGCAAAAAATGAACCAACAGTGATCGAAGGCTAAAGAATAGAAAAATCTAACCTTACAGAGCGACCACAAAAGTTCATTACCATGCTGTTTTTTATCAATTTCTGAATAAAACAAAACTTATAAAAAGGCCATAAAACAAAACATAAAACTAGTAGTAACTTGGTTTTTTAAAAATGCTTAGATACATGATCTGCATTTTATTTAAGGTGAGAATATAAATATAAAAATCAGAATTTACGTAATATTTACATTTAATTAACAATTCCAAAAAATGACTATTTTTCAAACTGTCATTTTCAGCGAATGCATGATTTACCTTTGATAATCTGTGAATGCCTATTCCGCATATCAGTTAACATTTTTTCGGCTCGATGATTTCGTTCCATCATGACTAGAAAGAGATGAAACCAAAGATTATTTTTTTAAATGAATTCCAGAAGCAGTGTGTATTCAAAAACTTTTCCATAGTCTAGAATTATATTTGCTTTCCTTTACGATGACTGATCGACTAACGCAACTTTTAATGTATCGAAAAAAATTCATGGATTGCTGCAATATCAATAAACTTTGTAATTTTTATTGTCAATAAAGAAAACCTAATGTACTAAGAACTTTTAGATGACACAACTAAATTTTACCAAGCTTACTGTTTCCCCTAATGTATGATGAGGTTCACACACGAAGAGATATGCTGTTTTTGAAAAAGTAATCAGTAACAGAGAGATGTTTCCAAAAGTGCATCAAAATTCATTCTTTAAATTCGTATTCCCATTAACACTACATTGAAAATATGCAGATTTCCATACAAACACCTAGAAAATACAACTTACGTTGTAACTGAGCACTGAGGCCACCAGAATGTACCAGTAACTTGGAATACCTATCAGCTAGATAAGCATACTTGACGTGATAATTTCTGTATTCTGTTAAATATAAGATGAAGAGTGTGAATGACGAGAAAATCCACGTCAAGCGTGACCATAACACTGAGCGCAAGTTCATCCCATATTGCCGCACTGAAATTCGAAGCTTGATCAGTAATTAACAAAAGTCTTTACCAAACACTAACAGCATACAACAAATATGGTTGAAAAACATCAATTTGATGAAAAAATTAAAGTCGAAATAATGAGTTGATCTGTGATATCTGAAATATGAATAATGTAAACTGACGATAATTACACAAACTACTGTACTGCAGCACTTATATCTCTACATGGAGCACTATCATGCAATAAGTAAACAAGTATAAAATACTGCAATAAAGAGAAAAAAAATTAGCACACAATGAAGTGAAAAAAGTGGGAGAAGATGGAAACGTTATACAACGCAGTAAGACAAGCATCCGTGAACAGTGAAAAGTAGAAAAAAGAAGCCCGTATTAGCGGAACAAATAAAAGCACGTGAAGGGAGAAGTAAGTCTGACAAGAGACAGATAAAACAAAGTGCCTTCAACGAAATCAGGCAAATCTTGCAATCACCTGAAAAAGTGTGAAGTTTGATGAAATTAATCAGTACTGATTAATAGCTGCAAATCTTGCCAGATTCAAAAAAGTGCTACATGTTGGATGCTCATGTTTGATGCCAATTAAGACCCATACTCTGCATCTGAACACAGTGGTATTGAAATAGAGGAAAGGAAAAGAGAGGCAGTACTATAGAAAGGAATTAGAGCAGAAAGAGCTTCGGAAACAGCATCTATTTTGAGTAGGCAGACAAGGAGAGAGGAGAAATACGCTGAAATCAAAGATCGATTGTAGGTAGGTGATGTTGATGGTCGGTAAGTAAAGCAAGAAAATGGCCAGAAGCAGAAGAATTAAAGGTTCTACCCATCACGTCAATCACCTATCTATATACGTGCATTGCATTCGTCTTGGCACATCATATGTAGTTCATTTACCAAAACAGATTTAGCTTGCTACGTGGTAGTCGATCTTTGCTCGCGTTGGCATTACTCTGTTTTCTCTGCCCCCACTTCTTTCTTTCCCCATCCTATTTTGCTAGTCAATTTTTTTCCATCTTTGTTTAGTCTTCTGAACTCCAGCGTTTGCTGATATAGTGCTATGGTCAACTTCATTCACTGTATCACTGCAGGCAAACTGTAGAAATAATTAAGTGCTTGTACTAATGATGACAACGATTATACACGTTAGTGATTAAGTAGTATTCGCTTTCTCTATGTCATGCAGTGATATTATTTATTTTTGGTTTTCGCTAGCTATCGTTTTTGCGTCTTTCAAATTCATCTATCTCACTCTTTGCATTATTCTCATTGATTGTTTTTATTGCTATTTTATTGTCATTTGGTCAGTTATTGTTGTCATATCTCATAGTGCGGCTTAGAAATAGCCTAAGTTTATGAGAGCTGTCAGGCTTTTTCCCTAAATATTTCGTAGATGAAGTTTATGTTCGCTAAATCTCTTTGCCACCTTTAATAGAAACAAACATTCAGGGAATACAACTCATAGTTTAACTATGGCCACTTACCGGAAATAAAATCAATAGATTCAGAAACTCGATTTACGTTATATGATATTCTTTCAATAGCGCATCAAGTCACTAACAAATTCATTTATATTTAAGATATCAAATTTTCTTTTCACTTTTCTTCAGAAGCATGTTTTGTAAATGTCAGAAAAATCGATCTCAGCTAACAAATCTGCAGGGCGACATTTTGCCCGTTATATTTAACTTGTCACTAAAATGAAAAGTTAAATTTTAAGTGTAAGGGATCAAATAATAGAAATCTTATAGTGCTCAAGATAACTTATTGGGCGTTAAATATCAATTTCCAGTGGTTTAAAAGACACGCATGATTTTTTTGACCACAAATGTATTGACATTTCAAGGTTTCAGGAAAACAGTTACGTTGTTTTGAAGAGTAGTCATACGTTTTGTTTGCATATCAATATTTAGCAAGGAAAGTATGAAAAAACCAAGATGTTCCTCGAGCCATACATTACTAATCTTCATGGTGTGTTTTTTTCCTCTATGAAAGCTGAGCATTTTGTTAGCAGTTGAATTACATTAGTTATTATTTTCTATTTTCTGTACTTTCTCCCTCAAATATTGACCAGAATAAACCAGAATAGCTTGATCAACCAATAAGACTTGTTTCACCAGTTAAATTTCGATAACATGGGAAATCGTTTCAGAAAGTATGGCATCTTCAATACTATACAAATTTACTTCGAGAACATAAAACATACTTTATCAGCAATCTCTCACAACATGCAGTTTCAGCCTATTTCGGCATTTCGAGATAAGGCATGTGACATTGAAGGAAAGTCTGTCTTCGTAATCCAAATTTTATTAGTTTTTTTTCATTTCTTTGCCTCCAGAAAACTTAGCTCTTTTGAATTTGTGAGTTTTGTAGTGGAAATTTGCTTGGCATTTAGCAAACCTGTCGAACTTACATTCATTTGTGATCTGCATCGTTGGCTAATTTTATCAAAGCAAGAAAACTAATCTAAGATTACGTAAATGTGCACTGCGATTTATATCTCTCAAAAAAGTTTTTTTTTGTAATGAATGCGGCTGAGTAGGAATTTCGGCATATAATTGTGTTTCGACTAAATTGAAACGAAAATCTCCTATATTATTTTTGTAAAAACTTAGATTGACCTGTTTCTTATTGACCTTCACTTTCATAGATGCTGTAAAATTAACACTATTGCGTTATCATTTGCTAATAATTTTTAATTGAGTTTATTAATTATTCACGTTTTTTTCATATTGTAATAATCTTTTTTATCTGTAAACAAACTTGGTCTTAATAACTTCCTGATGTCAAGTTTTTACGAAAATGATTGCACAATATGCACTGCAATAATCATCGAGAAAAAAGTGTCTTGTTTTTCAGTGCCGGGGAATATTTTTCATTGATAAAAGGAGCATGATAAACTTGTACAGAGCATTAAGGAGATTAATAATTATTTAAGGATTAGGGAATATTTAATTGTGAAGTAGTAATTGCATTCTAGAATCTAATTTTTCACGTAGTAGTTGAAGCGTCGCAAGCGTTTGCCGTTTATAGACGCTTTACATTTAATCACCTTGTATAATTTATAGAGTAATATCCATGCAAAAGTATTTTCACACATTTGGACGAGCACAATGAGTGGTGGTGGAGGTGCTATATTGGCTGATCGTAATCGACTGTCATCACAATCCTCAGCAACAATATGTCGTAATTCGCTTATTCCCCAAGATAACGTTATCAATGAATCGGAATTTCCATCTTTAGGAGTACGCTCATCTTCAACATCTGCATTTAATTCTTTACCCACCACTAGTAATTATTCTTCACCTCTACCACAAAATCATCCATACCCAAAAGATATTTATAATGTGTCACAACGGGCTCCATACGGTGAGTTAATTTACAGAGTATGCAAATTCTAAAATCATTCTGTCTATAGCAATTTAAAGAAATCAACATTCACAATGCAGAAAAGTTCTATGAATTGTAAAATGTATCTATGTGTACATCTTACATACACTTGAACAGAACTTACGTCTTGCATGTCGGTTTTTTTCTTTCGTTTATTTCATTGTTTTGGTGTTGTGAGCTCTAAGTTCCCATGACAGATAGTAACAATCTACGTACCGAATTTCGGGTCACCTATCTCTAATTGGCATCATATTTTCTTCGTCCGTATAGCAGAAATTAGAATAAGAGTGATTCTGACATTTGTTTATTTATGTAATTACTTGAACATGGAATGTTACGTTCTAATTGGACTTTGAAAAATTCATTTCGCTATTATGGTCATGCATGTAAATTCCATTTTTAAGAACTGCGTAATGAGAAAGAGAAGTTTGGAATTCTGCGCAAACAAAATTATTAATCAAAGTTTCTACATTTGGTTCTAACCTCTTAGGGATACCATGTTATGGTAGAGTTGAACATTGTAAGTTTGCGGTTACCTCCCACTTAGGCAGTGATATTACTATCACGATTTCCATCATCATGTGCTCTAGTATGTTAATGTATACACTTATTTGACTTCTTAATTTTGTACTCCCGTCTTAATAATCTGAATTGACAGCTTAGGAATCAATTTGCATTTTTGAAATTATGTTCAAAAATTGTCTTCCGGAAATGTGCTCTCAAAATAAAACTCGAAAACGAATATTTCATAAATATATATTTATGCACTTTTACACCTGATGTTGTCTTGAAGGACATTGAGTTTGCTTTTTCTGTTTTTGTCTTCTCTAATTTGCTTTAGATTCTTTCTGCTTTTGTCTCCTGTGCTTATATAACTGATTAGAAGTTTATAAGATCATCGAGTTCCACTTGTCCTTCTATTCTTTTGCTGATAACGAGCACATACGGTTGTATTCTGCACACCAAGTGAGTTAAAAATACAGTGTAGTATATTCTCTTTCGAGAAAAAAATATGTATGCGGCTGTCGTAGCGGCGGATACGTATCGAGCAATGAAAAACAGTAAGCTTTGTGGCATTCTACAATAATAATGGTGGGTATTGAGAACGAATAGATCAAACTTCGTACCTTGAAATGCCCCCATTAAAAATATCGCTTGTATTGCTTAGATATCTACATCTATTACAGTTCTCAGTTAACATCACGGTCTATGGCTCTTGTTTAGTATCCCAAATTTTTTAAATTGAGGTTTTTTTAAATTCATTAAAATGCTGAGATTCCTTAGTAGCAGTTGTTTCAACTACATTTTTACAAATCTCTAAGATAATTGCAAAGTAGGATTGAGATTGATTGTTCCTGTGAATGCAGGTTGCCAAAGAGTTTCAGTGCTTTTGCTTCATTCGAAACGTGAGAAGGAGAATGTATGAAATTAAGATATTTGTTTTAAAATTATATGCTGCGCAAAGATAGCGGAAAATTCGATTTCATTTCATTGCAGCAAATTTGATGCGAACGAATGATGGAAATTCGCTGCCTGCACAAAACGTCGAGTTCCATATTCAGAATGAAGATTTTCCCGCATTACCAGGTTCCAATCATCTTGAAAACAATCAAGTCCATGTAAATAATTTTTCCTTTTACTCGTTGTATTCACATTAATATCAAAACTACTGAGAAATTATTGCTGTAATCTCACTTTTCGCTTTAGAAAGTTTTAATATTCTACGAATACAGAAATTCATATTATTTCTTGCTTCTTTCGCAGAAAAAATTCCAGACAAACAGCACAGATGGCCTTGTGTTAGAACCACGATATTCAGAAAGGTCGAACAATGATACAAAGATAGGCATCCAAACATTGCCAGATGGCTAGTTTTGCAACGAAATAGATACTTTTTATTTCTGGAAACAACGGAGAGACAAATATTCTTTGTTTTGATATATTTTGCTTTTTAAAATAAGATTTATGTCCTTCTCGTAGAATTATTTAATTTCCATTTTTAAGGTACAGTGAAAAATATTCCTGCGGGCATGTTGAATGACCAGTTTGGTATGGCAGGGCTCCTGACATTTTTACGCGCGATTGAGACTGATCCTGCTATAGTGGCTCTTGCCCTTGGTCATGACCTTACAACATTGGGATTGAATTTGAATTCTAGCGAGTAAGAATTACGCTTCTGGGTCTTGTCACAGCTTTGCTCAATTTAGGAATAGCTGAAAATTAGAAATGACATACTTGCTTAATAGGGCTTGGAGTTTAGGAAATACGTAACTAAAGTAGATTTGCAGAAATGATGGCGAGTTATGCACTACCTAGGATTTGTAAATGAAAAATATTTGCATTACAAAATTGTTCTATGAACCTTCCGGTGTTTCCAGCATGAAAAACAGAAAGAAATGTTTATTGGCAGTATTAAATGCTGTCTGTATACATTTGGTTTTGTTTTAGGCGAAATATTTATGCCACTTTTGGAGGACCATGGGCAGACTATCCATGTCGGATACAAGATCTAGAAACAAGGGTTCACTTTTATTGATTTACATTTCTAACAAAAAACTTGAACTTTGTATTTTTTCATTATTCTTATTTTAACTAAGAACTCATTGAAATGATCTGCAGAGAAATCTTAGGTTCCTGATGAATATTTGACAAATGTTTCAATTCGAGAAAAGCTGCCTAATATTAAATTGAGTAAGCTGTCGGAGGATGTGCTGTTCTACCTCTTTTATAACTGTCCAGGCGAAGTGTACCAGGTTGCCGCTGGTAGTGAGCTGTAAGCTCTTACTTTTTTATGTAGTGACACTGTTTATCTGTTTGTCACTTTAATAGTTTCCAATGATTATGTGATATAAGTTTAATTTTTATAAAGACTATTGCTTCAGAGTACATTGAAAATCTTTTAGGCGTGTAGATACCAAAACCAATTCATAATTTCATACTACTGATTAATTTTTTATTTTAGTGCCTTTTCTTTCAAGGTATAGTAGAGACTGGAGATTCCATAAAAGTCAACGTGTGTGGTTAACTCGGTCACAGTATGGAGGTGTTAAGGAACAGACATCGACGTATGAAAAAGGATCGTACAATGTTTTCGATCCTGTACAGTGGCGAAAAGTTAGTTATTAGATACTGAAGAAAGTAGTTATGTATTTAGCTTTCACAGATCAGCATAATTCATTTTATTTTCATTCAAAAACGTAGTATCTTTACCTTGGTAAGTTGTTGCTAATTTTTGTGACACAGCTGTGGTCGATGCCTTTATGTTTTTTACTTACTTTTTTCAGATACCGAGGGATATGACTTTGGAGTACAAAGAGCTTGAAGAACGACCAAAATTGCCTCAGCCTCTATTGCAACCACCAGTGCAACCGCAAGTTGCACAGGCATCGACCACAGCTGTGTCACAAAATGGCTCATAGCTAGCGTACGAACGACGCCGGTGGTTGGTTGACAGCAAAATTTGGATTGCATGCATCAAGATTTCTTGTAAAAAAATTTCATTCTCTTGTAAACAGTAAATTTTTTACTTCATTCGAATTTGAGGTGTCAATATTCATTATTGTTTAAGACAAACCTTATAAAATACACATTATTAGTATACTGCTCTGATCTAATCTCACGAAATAGGATGAAGTTCACGTTTTTATCTCCAAACTTATCTACGACTTGCTATGTTGTTATTTGCAATAAACACTTTCATATTCAATTTTTCAATTCATATGATGCTGTAGGGAATCCCTTTAACGAAAAAAGTTGCATTGTCATTTGTGGAAGTCTGCGTAACTTTATCCAGTCTAAGTTACGATATGAATACAAAAAATATTGCTGTTATGATGTGGCCATCCGCATTTCATGTTCACACTGAGATTTATGATACATGGATTCATGATACTTTTATTTTAAAAATTTAAAAGAAAGTAGGAGGGAGATAGTCTAAAGTTCACACTGTCTCACTTCAGTTTTGTTATCTTCCTGAGAAATTCTTGCTTTTTTCTGGAAGGTTTCCTTTGTTAACTGTCATCACTCTGGTTTCATTTCTCAAAAGATGAGATGTAAAGTGGCAGGCGTAGTTATCAAGTTCCGAGATTTTCCATTGGTTTGAAGAGCGGATTGTAATAGATTTGTGCTAACATCATTGTTCGGTAAATAAGGCCCCAGATGTCATGGTGTGTGCAAGAGAATAAGATTTTAGAGTTTCTTCACTTTAAATGTTATTCTTAGTATTGATAAAAGGTCAAAGTTTTGTATATCAGTTCGAAAACCTCGCGATGCGTTCATTAAGTTTGGAAACAGTTCTGGATTAAGAAAACGTGTGCTTAAAAGGCAGGCAGCTTGCCATTCTCTTCAAAGATTATAAATCGAGTTTTGAAAACTGAATATTCAAATGATGAAAATTTTGTGAATTTTAACTTTATTTCAAAGAAATCAGGTGAAGATTTTTTTCATTTTACAGTTTTGAGAAATCCATGATTAAGACCTAATAATGTTCATGTATAGAAAGCTGGCTGTTAACATGAAGTCGTTGGAGTCAAAAGGTTGGATACTGATTTCGTAGCAATAGTACGATGTCCTTCCGTGGTGTTCTTTATAATTCATCGTTCATTTTCCTTAAATCGGCGTTTTCGTTTGATTTTAATAGTGAAATGGATGATAGCGGTTCAAGTGTAGCAAATGTAAAATAATAGTATTTAAACAGTTATTTATTACTATGTCCATTTAAATAATTTTTAGTTCTAAAAATAATGTCAAATACCAATACTGTAGAAGATGAATAAGATTATTCTGTGACTTATTTTTGGGGCATGATGCGTTATGAGTTTTTTTGAACATATTCAAGATGGACTTGGAGAGTCGTTGCTGTTGCAAGACTTGAGCGATCAGTGCAATGGTTACACTTCCATTAACTGCTTGTGGTACTAAATTCTCGCGTAATATTTTTTGTCTACGTTTCTCAAGTAAACCACTATGTTGCATTTTCTTGAGTACCTGTATACACAATGATAGTAGTAGATTAGTTTCATCCAGTCAGTTGTAGTCATATACTTTTTTGGGATTTCATGTATCGATCCAGTTTAAACATGCAAACTTGTTATTACCATTCTTCTCTTGACCAGTGTGAAAAAGGCTGAGAAAAAATGTATAGTTTAAAGAGAAGCTCGAAAGTTAACGATATAAACTTTTTGAAGAAGTTTCTCGTCCATGGGTAAGTCGCCAACTGCTTTTTTAAGATTTCTGGATATTTCGTTATCACTCGTTGTCCTGTTATTGTCTAGTAACTTATCGAATGCATCCTAAATTTGCATTCCTAATAATAATAATTATTATTATTATTCTATTATTATTATTACTATTATTATAAAATTATTATTATTCAGTTATTGTTCTATTATTATTATTATTATTAATTAATTAATTAATACATTAATAAGCAATCATTTGTAAGAAAGAAATAGGACAATTTTAATAAGCCAGTCATGCTTTATTCAGAATTTATTAGCTACGTGTATGATCACAAATTAACAGATTGCTGATTCTTAATTACTTTTTTATCGCCATCGATTCCATAGATTTCTAGAAGTGTTCGAATTTCCACTAAGCCCTCAACAAAAGTGCGATCTTGTGCTTTTCCAGTATTGTTTCTTTGAGTTCTGAAATAAAATGCTGATCTTTAAAACATACAGAAAACAAAGATGTAAGCGAGTAGTGGATCTCCATATTGCTTCCAGGCTGTTTAAAATTGATGGTAAAGTGTAGCTAGTTTTTCATTTTAAATAAGTTTACAAAAGAAAAAACTTTGACGAAGCATCAATCTGTGGGCTAGAATGATAGAAATGTGATTCAATAATTGAACTCTTCAATAATTGAAATATGAATTCTTACGAAAATAAGTTAACATAACATGAGATTAAAAAAGTATTACGTTTGTCAACTTTAATTTTTCAAGATACAGAAAAATGAGAATACTTTGATTCCTCAGATGTAGTTATTTCGTCATTTACATTTACGCAGTCCGATTTCTGAAGTGCATAATTCAGTATGAAACCAAAATCTTAATAAGCACAATCGTTACATTAACTTAACCGCTGCCTTAATATGCATTAAATTTTCTAATCTTTTTCCAACAGAGCGCTTTATTTAGAAATCTTGTGAATTTTTTAAATCACTTTTTTTCGAATAATTAAACTTACTTTTTGTACTGTAGTTCTTGTCAAAAAAGTTCACCAAAGATGAAAAATCATTTAACCTGTTCTAATTCTTCTGTTCTCATTGATTCACCATTTGAAGTCCTAAACTTTTTAGTCAAAACATTCATGAAGTATTTTCTGCATTTATGCTTATTATGGTTCAATTAATTACTAGATTCAGTGGCTGGGCATGCATGTCGTGCATAATTTCTTTATTTCATTAGTTTATATCACTTGGAGGAACTATTTTCATTCTTTAGAGACTCAAGATAAATTAATTACTCGTTGCTTTTCGTCCTAATTTCACATGGTTCATCATTGCAAGACACTTCGTACTTATTAATATTTGCAGTCCTAAAATTTGTTTCTCCACTACTTGCATGTTGCTGGTCCTCAAGATATTTCGCTTGGTTATCTTTATCTTGGAAGGGGAAGATGTGAGACAGTTTAGTACATTTAAGAGTAGAATCTGTTCGTTCGTTATGTTTTGCTTTTCGATCTGAAGTGAAATGTAATTAATTTTTCTATATTCTTGTTATTTTTTAATCTTTGTTTTTTTCTCTATTGATTGTCGGACCCTTGGTTAGTGAATGTATCTAACTTTGATTTTAAATTGTTTTTTAAGATTTGTATGGTTGTTAGCTTTTGCCCTATAACATCTTAATCAACTTTGGTCAATGTTTTTGTCAGTTTAGTTACATCTTCTGTGACTTTCAGACGCGATGATTCAGTTATACCAATTGATTCGAGGGTATCGTTGCTATTACTGCTTAGGTCGTCCACTTGAACGTTTGACTTTTTTGGCAATGTTGTCATATCGTACACTTTACCTTTTCTTTGCATGTATGCTTCAACGTGCATAATTTTTCGGTCGTCATATTCTTCAGCATGTGTAGGTAGGGCATTTGATTTAGCAACTGCTTGTTTACTGCGATGCTGTTTCTCATGTTTTATCCTTACTCCATCTCCATGTTTTTGCTTTGCAGTAATATTGATGACTTTATCTGTCTTAGTATGATCTCTGCTAATTATTTTACTTTTTTCTGTAAACGCCATATTTGACGTATCGTTATTTAATGTTCTAGACGACTTGGCAGAAGTAGTATCTGAAGTAGAAGACGCAGTGGTGAATGGACCTAAAGTAGGTTCTAGTATATCTGTAGAAAGTGATGTGACTGGTGTAGATGACGTAGAAGATGTTGCTGATTTTGAAAACGATAACGAGGATGGTGTCAATGATTTTTCTGACGGTTTTGCTCTGTTTGAAGTAGCAATGTCTTTGTTCTTTTCACTTTTCTGGTAGTGGTTAGATAGCCCGCTCGATCGCTTAGCCTTTTTTTGCGGAAGCTCCGTCTCAGTCTTATTTTCGAGGTTATTTGCTACTTCTGTTCTAGTTTTTTTGCTGCCTGCGAAAAGTTGGCCCTTCTGATCTATTCCATCATCCCTGTCCCTGTCGATTACTTTGGGTTTCATCTTATTGTTAGCAAACTTTGCTGTATTCTCCTCCCTGACTATTAGGTCGTTTATCTTATTCGAAATGCTCTCACCCTCTTTACATTCCTTACCTCCTTTATTTAAAAATGTTGACAAAGATCTACACTTTCTGTGTTCACTTTTATGAATATCTTTCTTTGGAAAATAATTTTTAGAATTTCTTTCGTTTCTGGCGTTCCGTTCCTTCTGTTTTGTTGACTCACTGATACTTTTTGATATCGCAGTAGATTGACCTCCTTCTCTCTGCTGCAGAATCTTTTTGTTTACTTCCACTTGTTGCTTTTTGTGAACTAAAGAACTTTGTTGTGGTGTTGTACTGCCACCCTCAGTGTCTTTTCTTCCCCTTTTTTTCCATGACTCACTGACTATTTCTGAATCTCTGCCATAAACACAGTTACATTTCTTCTTCTCAGTAACATTTTCCTCAGTAGTTTTGACCAGAATTTTGCCATTTTCATCGTTCTTGTGCAAGGTTTTCCTCCTTATCTTTGACTTTTTTCCTCCGCTTGACTTCTTTTGCTCATTGCTTTTCAACTCATTTTTATTTTTTCCATTTTTTTTGAATGTATTGCTTGTTTTTATCATATTACCACTTTCCCCGAATAGTTGCTCTTTGTTGCGTTTTTTTTTCGAATTTTGTCCGTAAAATTTTTCTTTATTCGACTTTTCTTTCGTTGTATTCCTTATGGAATCAGTTCTAGTGCCTATCCCAGTTTTTGTTCCTGTCGTGGTGCTTTCGGATTTCAACCTTTTTTTATTCCTTCTTTTTTTATAAATTTTCTTTGCAATTTTTGAAAAATCACTGGGTTTATTTTTTGTCGCTGAAATTTAATAAATGAATCTAAATCGTCTTGAGAAAAGAACTATCTCATAATTCATTGGCTTTGACGGATATGTTACGGTTTCCCATATAGATAAAAACGGTGATTATGAATTTTAAGCGCTAAAAAACAAGATAAATTTTTAAAGTTTGTTAATAGAAACTTATCATTGTAATCGATTTTGAGTTTTCAAAGTTTGTAGTTGCAAGCATTAAAACTACTAAAAGTATTGGTCTTTATTTTATTTTTTACATGTGTTTCTAATACTGTCATAACAGTTTTCTTCAAATATTTACTTAATTTTTCATATCGGCGTTGTTCAGGAGTTAAGTGTTTAGATTTTATTTCTGAATCATTTGCTGCTTGCTGTTTGTTTCTATAAACTCCTTGAGAAGGTGATTTTTTTTTAAGGTTATTTCTTCTTGCGTCTGCAATTTCTTTTCTCTTTAGTCTTTGGGCATCTGAGTATGATTGTCCCGTTATTTTTTCACTACTTTTTAAAACACTTGGGCAATTTTTATATATTACAATTTCTTGATCTCTTCTCTTGTGGCAATTTCTTTTTCTCTTATGTTTCTCATCGGCACCAGCGACAAACCTAAAATTCATTTCATTTCACGTGACTTTCCTATATAGAATTATGTAATTGAAGCCTATGCAAATAGTCAGTAAAAATGTTTGAGAATCCGAAAAAACGGCTATTGATGTTTGCATGATAAAACAAACTGCTTGAAATATATATATAATAAAATGGGAGGTTAGTTTTAATTTTCGCTGTATTGGTTTTGGCGCCGGATCGCATTGCGGCACTCTGGCACTACGGCCCTGCGCTCAGATTTCTTGTGCTCATCGTTCTTGCTTCGTCCTCGTGGAATGCATATCGACTGTCGAAGGAGGTGCTTTCGAACATCTTCTTGAAAACTATCGATTGGATGTGTACCGCGACGTGTCTGATATATTAAT